CATAGTGTTATATATTTATAATCTTAGTCAAAATTCATTCAGTTTTCCACTTGAGTCTATTCGCTTTCTTCTCATACGATTTTACTGGTTTATTTTTTATTTACTCGTTTATGGATAAATTTTGTACGCCTGTTGCTAATTTCTATAATCGTCACATTTTTTCAAAGAAATTCCTTCCCCTGCATTTCGAGCATCTAGCCGAGGAGACGGATAGCAAGTCCTTAACTATCGAATAGAAGGGACAGCATAGATAGGAATCTAGTGCAATAAAGCCAGAGCACGCGAAGTATATAACCATGTTAACTGGCGCATGTAACTTACGCTTGAAATTTGCTACATGTACATGATAGCTGATTGAAAGTCAGCACAAAGTGTAACCCATTAAGAAAAAATTGATATATACACAAGTTAACGCCATTCCATTTGCTAATAAAATTTTACATTTAAATTAAAAACTTTCGTTAGTTTTACTAAGGCCATCTGCACACATCAACTTGTTCGCAGTTTCCGATACATGTAGGAGTTATTTTCTAAATGTTTATTTGTGAACTAGCAATCATCGCGGCATAAGATGATTGTGAATTTATAGACTCGGCGTAAGAAATTTTTTCTCATAATCAGCTATTGTCAGAAATGAGTTTGTTTTACTAGTCATCACTGAATCACGTTCAATACTGTTTTACAACTGCTTTAGAAGCTTAAATGCTACTGGACTCTTTGCATATTGAATCTGAACTTCGGTAATTTGGATGTGCAAGACGATCAACAAATTCGCGAAGCCTGTTATTTCACAGATTGCGAAATGTCTTGCAGATATGTGCCAGTTTTTCGGCTAATTCCAAAAATTTTTGCTTTGTTACACGCCGGCTGAAAGAGTGGCGCCGCGCCGGTCTTGTATTTCTGTAAAGCGAATTCGTACGATATCTGTAAGTAAATTTGCAATGTTACTGGTATGCCTAAAATTATTAAATAAAGTTAAGTTTCTGTTATTGTTTGCTGACAAGACTTCTCGGTTTCTGAAATTCGCAGTTGAATCATTGTACTGATGACGAAAGTAACATATATATATATTTCAAGACTTATCGCGGATGCTACCTGATGCCTATGACCACTTTTATTATTACTCGATTTCTGAATTTGCTCAAAAGCGCCACATGTGTGTCAGTTTCGTCATAAACCTTTCCGAAAAAGTTTTAGTTAAGTTGTTCTTTAATTCGTGGAAACTGTGTTTCTGTAAGTGTTTACCAAACATAGAACATTCTTATCCACTGTACCTGACGATATTTTAATATTTTTGTAAACAAGATGTGGTCACGTAGCTTGTAACATGTAGAAAGTAAATCTAATGTATAGAGTATCCAGATGACGTGTAATCGTTGCGAAGCCAAAGAATCTTCTATTTCTGCGTTAGAAGCCCGTCTGAGCGACCGAGAGAAACAGCTGTCGGTATGGACTAGATTCATGACGTGTTTGACGTCTTGCAAATAGCTCTTGTATTTAGGACTTGTTTGACAAATACAAAAAAGAGAAGTTTCAGTTTAAAGCGAAACTTCTGCAGCTGAGTAGGCAACTGTCCGCCAAGCAAGAGGATGGAGAGAGTTTCGACAAGTTCATCGAGAATTTCCAGGACGATGAGACGTTACTGCTGCGGTACAGGTCCGAGATTGAAAACCTGAACGCTGCCCTAGTGCGCAAGAACACCGAAATTAACGACCACAAAATTCGAATCAGGGTACTTGAGAGATGATAATTTTTTGTGTGTTTGTCTTTTCAAGAGTGATGCGTGTTTCGTCGCCTAGGATCTTGAAAAGAAGCTTCGCGAAGCGGCCGTCAACGACCATCGTCATCACGCATTTTCTCGAGAAAGCGCCCTCAAACGCGACAAGGACGTATTGGCGCTGTTCGAGGCAGAACTGCAGAATTTCTACTCCCAGATAGAGCTGAAAGACAAACACATTCTTCAGCTGAGTCAGGAGCTGGAAGAGAAGTCGGAGCAGGTGCAGAGTCTGGTGGAAGCATGCCAAGAGAAGGACGAGGTTATTCTCGCGAAGACACGCGCTAATCAGGTGAGGATTTGTTTTTGCCTCCGTTGCGAGATGTTTCTCTTATCGTTTGTTTTACTTTTCCTTGGATATGTTTATCATATTTTTCTGCACATTACTGTTGTTTGCCGCTTTCCTTCAGCTACAAGTTTCAAGGTCTTAATCAGTGCGAGGAGCCAGATTTCTGGCGATCATGTTGTCCATCATGTTCATAGACATTTTTCATGTTTAACTGGTCATAAGTAGATAAGCTAGGTTCTTCAAAGAAAAACTTCCACATCTGGCCATCTTCTGTTATAGGAGTTAGAATTTCCTCTCGGTTTTCTACCTTAGCAAAGGAAAAGAAATTTAGTCACCTTTAGAATCAATCTTCCTTCAGTTACATGATTGACTATTTTGGCGCCGTTCTTTTCATGACGTTGATGGTGCAGTGCTGATTTCTTTTCTGCGCTGTCAATCAGGAGTACACTATTTTTCAACGCTGAGGCTGCCTCTATATGGTTAGCATAATGTGTATTTTCTTGTTTCTTTCCTACAAAGTGGTATTCATTCATCAGTCTGAATGCTGAGTGATCTCGATTAGGCCTGGAACTCGGGATCTCTAGAGACTTGTCTCAGTTCGACGTTCAACCAAATGTCCAACCCCGGTCTATGACTTCTGTATAAGTGGTATTCTATGGTGGTTTGATGGTTTTCGTGAGGCCTCATAATGACGAGAATTTTACTACATTCTTTTGTATTTAGCAGTTGGTTTTAGCGTATCGTATTTATCGACAGGTCTTTCAGTCATTTTTTTCGATATCACCATTTGTGCGATATTCGAAATCCGCTTCAGGTCTGTTAGCAGATTCATTTTGTCCGCTTGTATACTTTAAGCCGTTGCTGCCTTCGGCTGTTCACATTTCATAACCGTACAAGCAGATTATTTCTTCGAGTAGGCGGTTATTAATTTTAACCTAGATGTTGTTTTCTTTTCATATAGGTTCCAGTTTCGACAGCGTTGTCGTTTTTGTTTTTCATATCTCAACTTCATCTGAAGATTCTTTATCGCTGGTATCTACTCTCTACCACAAAGTCAACTGAATTTCTAAAAGTGTTTCATGTCTCTGCCATTGAGCTTTGTTTGCAAGGAAATTAAAATGAGCATTTTTAACCATTCGAGTATCGGTTTTCGTTGCTTTTTTATAATGGGACCATTTTCTGCCCTGAAATTAATGTTGGCACTTTGATGTTTGTTTCCGTCTGCCGGCAGGCAGCAATGTCTTATTTTAAAGGCAGGGTTGACAGATGCTATGCGACAAGCAGTGAAAGAAGAAAGGCGACTGACCCAACCGCAGCTGGAACCCGCAACCTTTCGGTTCTGAGTTCTGAGACACCCTCTCGACTGAGCAAGCCCGGTCTGAAGTGACGTATGGCAAAGTCCTTGTATAGGGAAATTCATGGTTAATACAAAAGTTGCTCCTCCGCCAGACTCGAACTTGGCACTTCCCGAGTTCGGGGCCAACTGCCACCAAACCACTATCTGCAGGCTATTCTCCACTTTGTCTAAGCTAATGGCTTTGGTCATTTTGGTGTTTATGTGCATTTCAGTAAATGTTGCACTGTTGTTCAAGCAGTAGTCAGATCCAAAACTTTTATCAGTGGATCTAGAAAATATTTGATTGATCAATTACGGGTAGAGACTAACGTTGCGGATATGAAATTACTTGAAGATGTTCCTTGACGCTATGGTTTTGGACGTATCGGTAGCAGAGCAATGATTTTATTGCAGAAGTTTCGATTGCTTTCTCATGTGTACGTAGTGCTCAATAAATAAGTGTTGTCTAATTGAAGAAAAACGTTACTATCGATATAACCAAAAACAAAGCTTCAAGGAATATCATGAATTTATTAATTGCCTGGCGATGAATCAACACAAATTTCCGATGACGTTTGAAGGTATAAAACAGCAGACAGCATCAAGGATACCATTTCTATTTATTCCGAAATAAGGCATGAACTGTAATGCATATACGCCATGAGCTGAGGATAAAACCCGCTGATAAATTCGTTTTTAAATGTCCATGGCACTCAAAAGTAACGAACATGTCTTCCATGTTTTGTTACTGGAAGCTTACTGAGTATAGGTTTTTGATTAATGTTTATTAACCTTTATTTCATCCTGATAAATATCTACATATGTCGGTTTCTATAATGTTGGATAAGATAAGCTTACTGCGTTGTTATGTAATGCTGAGAATGACTATAGGCTGGGTTTACAAATTATCTTGTAACTTTGGTAAATA